TTACGGGATTTGACTGATGACCCAACACCGCGGAATGGGCGGTGACCGAAGATGAAACACAACCTCTAGAAGAGAGTGGGAAGTTTTGAAACCGTGCAGTACCGAGCGGCCGGGGACTACACACACAGTTCTTGCCTGCAACAGATGGAGTCGCAAGTTTCACCCTGATGATGCTCTACCCCCTGAGTAGCAGTTGAGACGCAACCGGGGCTTGGTGGATGATCACTTTTTGCCTGATGACTAGCGGTGTCGCAGCCTTTCTGGTTTGTCGTACAGCGCCTCAGCTCAGAACCGAGTCGTAACTAAGGTTTGAGGCACATGTCCTCAAAAGTAGTTGAGCCCGCATCCACTTTGTCTTGTAAGCTGTGGTTTATTTGCGAGTTTACTTCGTCTGGTATGGATGGTGGCATGCATGGGCAACTTACAGTGTCACGCCGACTTATGCACCTATGGATCCTCGCCTGGCTTGTCCGAGTTGTGAGAGTGTAAACCCCTAAACCCTAAACCCTAAACCCTAAACCCCAACTGTGAATGTCAGTGGCAGGTCGTGAGCTCCAGGTGCCTCGACTGAGCTGATGACATGTGGGCGTTTCAGAAAACGAGGGTTTAGGGTTTAGGGTTTTGGGTCCCTTTGTAAGGCTATTTCTAAGGATCCCTACTATTTAGGGTTGGGCATCTTGATGGTATGACGTAGTTTTGGAGATTTCGCTGTGCCCCTTTTGCTTGAACTGGTTTTGTCGGTCCGATTGGATGTAGCTGGAGCATAGGCCCCTACTCGTGTATTATTTTGGGAGTTTCTTAGTATAATTATAGTATAATGGGCCCCCAAACCCTATTCTAATTATTCAGGCCCCTACATTAGGCCCCGTGTTGAACCCCGTTACGGAAGCGCGAGGCCGCAAAACCCGAAAGACCCCGCGCTGCCCTTGCTCAGTCAGACTCGACAGACTCAAAGATGCCAAACCTGAAAGCAGACTACCTATAGCCTAGCAGGCTTGCAGTATAGCATGTGTACTTATAAGACCACATAATACATATAAGACTATGTAAGACCAAAATGACATTCACACAGGAACCTGAATCCGTCAATAGACCTAGCAAGGACGCCACCGGGCTTGTGGGCCCACAAAGTGGTGCAGCACCTGGCTTTGCAGAAGAGCAGGTGCCCAATCGGAACCAGCATTATGATAATTATTCGGGTCCGAAGACTTCGTTCAGCATATTCCTCGTAGAATTATATAGCGATTGGTATTAAGATCCTGCACCTTATAGTCTTAAGTATCTAGATCTCCAAATAAAGACTCCGGGTCGAAAGGTTGAGGATTTCAAGCATTTAGTCTCACAAGGGGCGTTCCGAGCGTTGAGCTGAGGCTTGGGATCAGACGGCGCGATTTCAGCCTGTTTTTGTGTTCGTGGCCTGGGCGACAAAACTACGAGTATAACCTGCGGCCCGGCGGGCTACGTCTGCGTGCATGGCTTGAGGATGCTTTAGGCGTGCGTGCGTGTTGCTCCCTTTTCGACGTTTGCGTGTGGGGTTTGGTGAAGTTGCATGGTTCATGTGAAGACACTGTGCTGGCCGCACCCTATCAGCCCGGCCTCTCATGAAACAAGTGTTGGCATTGCGGGAGGTTTTGCAGTCGTCTGCTAGCTTCGTTATTGTATGTTGCAAGTGTTTCTGCCTGCTGCATTTGACAACGCGCGGATCATTCGATTTCTCGTGTTCGTGCACCATAGCATGTGTTGTCGCGAGCATCTTCGACATGCTTCCCTAAAACTTCTCCAACACCTCCGCCGCATCCTGCCCCCATGCTCGTGTCACTTCGTCCCGCGTGCCACGACGACAACAGCAGCTGCTATTGCGACTGCCGCACCAGTGCTGGCACCAAGAGAATACTATTGTGAAGAGCACTAGAACCAAATGTATGTTTTGCTAGAAAGCAGGAATATAGAGGTCGTCGCAACAGCACTGGCCAGCTTTTATGTTGGCATAGAAGAACCAACATTGTAGATTAAGCTGCAGAAAGTTCCACTGTTGGCGGTAGAAGAGGAGCGAACAAGCAACGACAAGTGCAATCATGGTTTATGACATTGACTGCGGAAGTAGGGCATATACAGAATGGGCATCGGCATAGTTCTCCGTCGGTTGCTCCATTGGTTTGAATAAACAGCAGCTTGTCGACTTTGTGCCAGGAGCTGGGTGTCTTCACCGGGAGGATCAAGAACTTCCATCAGGTGACGGCCAAGACATGGCTGTAAACACTGAAAACTATTCTGTCGTCACAGAAGAGTACATGAAAAGGTGTGTGTATATATATATATATAGTACACAGAAAGTAGATGCAGATGCAGGAGTGTATGTGCATACATATATATCTATATATATATATACATACACATAATATATGCACTTACCAGTGCACATTCATACATGTTCATGTACATGTACACAGGAGTCACACAGACATTGGGACAAACACACAGGTACTCTTACACACACACGTAGGTACATGCGTACATATACAGACATACTACGTACGTACATATATACATACATACATACATACATACATACATACATACATACATACATACATGCATACATACATATGCATTAATAAATTCGCCCCTTTGTGCCACATCTTGTGGTAGCGGAATTCGCCTTGACCACACGCCGTTTGCGTTTCTGCGATACATGTCTTCGACATGCTGAATGGTGCTCAAACTGCAGCTTCTGAGAACCCGGTACTTTGAGTCATGTAGTAGGTCATACTACAGCCTGTAGCTATTTCAACCCCTTGTATCTGGCATTGATTTTTGGGCTCGGCATGCGTACAAACTTCATGACCGTTTACGCTCCAGGGGCGGATGTAGGCCTTCTTGTCATTGTTGGGAGAGGCAAGAACGGTTTCGGACCTATGCCCTATGGCTTCCTTCACTAGTCTGTATGGTGTACATAGTACTACACGTGCTCAGCCCCGGATAGCCTGAAGGGAAACTTCAAGTTCCCATGGCAGGACAAAGGCTTCGGCTTCATTGTCTGTGAAGCACTGAACATGCAGGGCTTCCAGGGCGATGCCGCTGGGCCTGTACATTTTCAGGATTTGGCAGTTTCAAGACGAGGTTGCAAGGTACTGCAATGGAAAGCCTGGCCGACACAAACGGCATGATCTTGGAAACAGCATGCTTCAAAGCCATCTAGGGCCGTGCTTCACAGCCAGGCTTCAGACAGCGAAGCCCGATCAAATCAGCTTCGAGCAGCATGGCATGCCCTTCCAAGGTCTTCCTGCATCAGAGGCACAAGGGGGAATTCAGGGAAGGCGATTTCGTCGCGTTCATGGCCGTGCTCCGAAACGGAAAGCTCCAAGCCAAGGACCCGCTTAGCACTTTCAACGTTGCTCCAACAAATTCATGCAATCGTTCTTTCCGTCTGCAAGGACCTCGAGCAAGCACCCCCAGGTAGCGACGGAGGCTTAGGCATGGGCGGCGGCATGGGTCCAGGTCCCATGGGCTGTCCAGGTCCTATGGGGGGCCCAATGGGCGGTCCATGCATGGGTGGGCCCATGGGCGGCCCCATGGGTGGTTGCATGGGCGGCCCAATGGGTGGCCCTATGGGCGGCTGCATGGGTGGGCCTATGGGTTGCGGCAAAGGCTGCGGCAAGGGCTTCGGGGACAAGGGCAAAAATGCCGGCCGAGGCCCCTATTGATTCTGATCTTTCCCATCGTTCTTCAATCTCCTTGCATGCAGAAGAGTGCGAGGCAAACATGCGCATGAACATTGTTTGATGTGCCAAGATAGGCTAGAGCATCATGCATGATTATCATGACGAGTTACCAAAACTTCGGCCGTCAGCTGCATCTGCATGGAGCGGATTGAAGGGACTCAGCTCGCCAGCTGATGCTTATTTAGCCCGGCATGGGCTATGCTGAGAGTACCGCCGTATACTAGCTGGAACTGCAAGACCCAGTCGAGTGAACAGCCTAGCCTCACCAACGAGCCTTCATGATTGCCATCGTATTGTACCCCATTGTAATCATTCAGCCCTGGTTAGCAGAGTACAACATGTGATTCAGGCTTCTGATGCAGCAAACTCTCAGGAAAAGTGGCCTTGCCAGAAATGGCACCCACGTCGCCTAGCGAGCGATCCAATGGCGCGTTCAAGGTTTCAGGTTTTGGTTTCACACCTCAAGAGATGCGGATGTATGAGCAGTTGCAAAGAAGAAAAGTTGCGAAGAGTAGAGCCATCAGAACTCCGGGCATTGCTGAGCTACGGAATGGTTCATGGCGCCTGCACCACCCAGGTTTGAGTGATCGGGCCGCCTAGACCTGCCAATCAACTGCCCTCCATCAGACCCCTTTTTCTCTCTGTACGTGTATCCCCACCACGAGTGAGGCCTCTATTCTAGTGCCGGGCAGTGCCGCTTAATGGTGAACCCCCCCCCTTCCCCCAAATTCCCCGAAGGTGGGATGTCTGCTACGAGCTGTAGGCATGCTGAGTCAGGGACGCCCTCGGTTTCTGCAGCGAGCCTGGAACACAACAAGACGCACCTTTCATGGAGGATGTTGGCCATGAAATGGTGGACATACATTTGGATCCTCTTGGTTTTATCGCTACCACTGTGTGAATCAAAAGTAGGTTTCAAGTTAATTACTTTATAGACCTATGTAGACTCTATAGACGGCCCTTTTCAGATGGACCTCAAGCACGATGACCTGCAATGGTGGGAACAGTCGTCTCATAGATCCCCAATCTTGCCATCATCTCGTGGCATCATACGCTTTGCTCAGGCTTTGCTGCACTGCCCCATGGCCATGTCCGCTGGAAGCCAAGCATCTGGCCAGCGAAGAGAGTCTCAAGAAAGGTCTGCTCGTTCGTTGGCATAAAGCTTCCCGCGCCTGAACTTGGATCTCAGTTGTTTCACATCTTCCGGGCCTCCTGGCGTGGGGAGGCGCGAGTTAGTTCCAAAGAGAACTTCACGCGTTCCGGTGTCGTGCGCGAGAGATGGGGTGTGGTGCATCGCAGCAATCGCGCCAATCCTCTGCGGCCGTTGTGCCTGAACCGCCTGCGCCAAATCACCAGGTTCAGGAAGAGGCCGCAGCTCCGGCTCCTGTCGAGGCTCAGGCAGCATCGGCAGGGGCTCCCAACCAGCAAGCCGAGGCCGCTACTCCTGTAAAGACCCAGGCCCCTTCGGCCGTGGAAGGGGTACAGAACTTCGATCCTTTCAAGGCAGCTGTGGAGCGCAACGCGCAGTATGTGAAGGAGCATAAGCCGTTGATGGCCTCTCGACAAGATGAGCAGAGTCAGGTCTTCAAGATCGAAGCAGCATTTAGATCCCTGGACAAGGACCACAGTGGCTTTCTCGATGAAACGGAGGTCTCGCAGGGGCTGCAGAACGCTGGCATCGATCCTCCGGCCGACATGGCCGCCTTCATGACGGAGGTTGACACAAACAGCGACGGCAAAGTTGACCTCACCGAGTTCATCCGTGTAGCAGGGAAGCTGCTGGACCCCAAAATGGGCAACGCACTGAAGTCTCATGCAAACCACCGGCGCTGGATGGAGATGATCGCAAAGAGCTCAGGAATCCCTCATGTACCAACAGTGAAGGGCGAAGCAGATGGCGAGGTGAAGGAAGCCGACCGTCAGAATGTCGCAGACCTGATGAACTCTCGCAGTTGGGATAACTTGTACGACCTCTTTGACGACAATGTGCAAGCAGCGTTCCCGAAGGACCAGTATCTTCAGGCCATGAATCATTGGGTCAGAAGCAACACCGTGGTTTCGCTCCCCGGCGGCGACGAGGGCTACTGGTTCAATTACTTACTCACAACTCAAACGGTGGTCTCCGTCTCGAAACAAACCATCGCATTCATGTTGGTGAACGGTAAAATCATCGGCATCAACCCAGGAGCCCAAGCGGAATCCATCCCTATTCAGGACCCGCTCAGCATTAAGTACGGCGTGTATTTTGATACACAAAACGCCACGCCGCACCACAACAAGTGGCACGCAAAAATCGGTACTGGAGACGAGTACCTTGTTGTTTGGCCGAAACCGTCGGCGCCCCACCAGAAGTTCGAGATATTCAGCTTCTACCTTGAACGGGATGGACAGAAGATTGATTTGGAGATGCTGGATCTGACAGAGGAAAGTGCTGAAGTGCAGCCGCCTCACAACCACGTACACGTTGCGAAGGCTGTTGGACCCGGCACGATCATCATCGAGATCAAATATGTGCACCTGCCACGGCGGGTGGAAGTGTACAACGAGGCCACTCCGCAGAAGTACTTTGTAGAGGACACGCAGCCGCTGGAAGAGCAGTACAAGCCCAAGCTCATGCCACACGGGGCGAAGTGGCAAGAATTCTGCATGAAGGGTGACATTACGTGGCACAAGGACACGGAGAACATCATCATGTTCGCGCAGCGCGCTTGGAAGCACATCGCATCAAACCACCGGTACGACAACTCGGCGGAGACTTCGGCACGCATGACACTGGACGACATCGTGGAGGGCGGGCTATCGCACTGCGTGCAGCGGTCGATCATGTTCAACACGGTCATGACAGCCAACGGTATCGACTCTCGCTACAATGTGACGAACGCGCATACATTTCCCAACATCCTTATTCCTGGCTGTGGCTGGGTGCCAATGGAACCCACAGGAGACATATGGGACATGTGCGATAACTGTGACTGCAATGACCACGTGATCTACATCGGTTCGGTCCCGCAACTGACCCTGAACACTCTGGGCATCCAGGACCACCTGCTCGCCGAGGCAAAGAATAAACTCACGCGGTGCTTCAATGAGAAGGACGACCTGAAGGGCGAGATCGGCGATGCCTTGATGGCATACTGGCCGACCTCGTACGAGCAGTTCAAGAACTTCGGCAATGTGACTTTCGTGAAGGAGGGGGTGTTTAAACACAAGCTCGGCCCGGACATCCTGCCGGCATGGATGGGTGTCACCCCGCCGCCTGTCGTGTACCTTGTCTGCACGTTTGCGAATCTCGGCGGCAAGGAATTCTGCTTCCAGCTGTGGCTTGACTGCGGCAAAATCACCGGGATGATGCTAGTCGGCCCGGAGGAGTTCGACAAGAATGCGGCCGAGAGCGAGGAAGCCCCGACACCCGCAGCCAAGGGGTTCGGCGGGAACAACCCGCACCTGATCAACTTGAAGCTCGGGAAGGATAACAAACCAGCAAAGTTCTACTGGGAAGACGTGCTCGCATCGCCGGGCAAGGTCCAGCTATCACCCATTGAAGCCTGGTCGAACCAGTTCGGGTACAACTACGAGTAACGAAAAAAAGCAGCGCGCGGGTGCGTCAGAGGTGGTTGTAAGGGAATGACAAGCAGGCAGATTTGGTTAGTGTATATAGGGCTCCTGAGGAAATGGGTGCATGTAAAACATATACATATATAGATGTATACATATATATATATATATATATGGTTGCGCCCCCTGCGGGCCCCCCTCTCCCCCTACCTCCAACCACGTATGTGTGTTTCGCCATCAGCGCGTGCTGTTCGGGCTGGGTTTTCGAGGTTGTTTGCTAGTGCCCTGACCTGCCGGGTGCCGGCGTCGAAGAGGATTGGAACTATGTATGTATGTGTATGTATGTATCTATATATGTATATGTTTGTGACAATACGGATCAGAGTGTAAAGGGGACCTTCTTCACATAGAATCACCATAAGGCTGCAGCTCAGAAGCGAAAGAGGCTGAGGAGTGTTGTTATCAGCGACCGCAATGAAGTCTGGGGCTCGGGGTTTAGTGATGCCAAGCGAAAGGGCATGGAACGTGGAGATCGCGAGTGTAATTTAATCGCGATGGCCAGGACAAATGTATGTGTTGTTTTGTGTACTTAAATGGCAAACATGTCTATCAGCAGCTTGNNCCCCCCCCCCCCCCCCCCCCCTAATGCTGGCTTCGCTGCCGAGAGCCTCAGGTCACACTGACGTCCAAAACCAGCCAGGCCTGGTCAACGTCTGGCGTTGGGGTTTACGGTTCCGGGGCCCTTGAAGGACTGGCTCTTGACGTTCCGGGTGTCGGGCTTCGGAGAGCTTGGAGCATAGTAATTCAGAAACGGGGAATTGAAAGCATTTAAGGTTAAAAATCCAAACTGGGGTTCAAAGGCCTACGAGAATTTGAGTTTTTCGGGCTCTCACTTTCCGGAACTGATCTGGCTGGGATGGCGCGGTGTGGCCATGGCTTTTGGGTTTAGGGATGTTTAGGGCTTACATTCGTTTGGCATGATGAAGTCTCGGCATGGGCTGTGAAGTGGGGGCTCCGCACCTACTGGTAGGGCTGTCCAGGGCTTCTCTTCCAGGCTTTCGGTTGCGCGCACAAAAAAATCTTGTGGAATCCCGAAATTTTGAAAGTACCTTTAGTACCCCTATGGAACTTTTTATGAGTAGTAGACATATAGTGCTCTCACAGAGCCAGAAGAAGTGGCCAGATGAGCCACTCGGCTTCTCGCCGCACCTGGGCAGAGGCCTCCGGGGTTTTGGAATTGCTTCATGATCAGGTTAGTGGCAGTCGATGTATTTATACACCAATAGCCGAAAATGTCAACAAATATATTGCTGCACACACACCCACACATATACACACATATGTATATACAGATATAGATATAGATAGACAGATGTGTATGTGTATGTGTATGTATGTAAGTACGACGTATTGTTGCTTCGGATGAACCGTTGAGGTTTAGGGTGGAGTTTTTGGTAACCCGCTTCTGCCCATCATAGCGCGAGGTCGCGGCAACGTCTGCTTGCACCACGCTGTGCGACGGTTGTGCAATTGCCCGGTGAAAAAAGAACGCGAAGTGCTTCAGCTTGTGGACGTTGAAGAATGGACTCAGTTCTTTTTGAGTGATGGGCCGATGCTTTGCCGAGTCTCGAGCTGTTCCTGTCGTCGGCCGTGGCCCAGCAGAGCCCACCGGAATGGTGCAGAAAGTAGCTTGGGGCAGTCTTTCCTTCCACGCCTAGTGCCGCGCCATGAAGTACCTGTGGCTCGTTTTCGTCGTGGCCGTTGCGGATGCGAGCATACGCTGGTTGCCTGCAGCGACCAGCGAGGAACCCAGTGGCATGCCAGCAGGACAGATGATCATGACCGTGATGGTGATCTCTTTCCTTGCAGCGCACGCCGCCGTGTGCTGCTTGACCAGGAAGTTAAATCCTGAAGGGTTCAACCACGTCCAATGTAGCAGGGGGATTGAGGGTTGCTTCCAAAGCATGGAAGAATCTTGCTCTCGACGAAAGATTCTACCCGACTCGGGGTGCTCTTGCACAGAGTGCGGTGATGATGCTGGGAGGTGGTCGCCATCATCATTAACCACCAGCAACAGTTAAAGGCCTTGGCATCATCATCATCACCATCATCAGCAGCAGCATTGTCACGATCATTCTCATCAAGATCACCATCAGCAGCAGCGTCACCATCATCATTATTATTATATTACTAGTATTATCATTGTCACCATCACAATCACCACCATTACCATCACCGTCATCGTCATCATCATCATAATCATAATGACCGTTGTTATGGCCAGGCTAATGATCTGGTTCGCATGGCTTCGTTTCATGTCATATGGTTTTGCGAGGTTCTGCGTGCTAGAAAGCACCCTGAGGTTGGCATTTCCACAAGCGACGCCACGTGGCCGACTTTTACAAGCAGGCGATTGCAGAAGCCGGCTCGTCGACTACGGTGCCTCGGCCCGCGGGCCCGCTGTAAGAAGAGTCTTTCACAATGACCTTACTGCCTCCCATTTGTTGTGCAGTTCCTTGGGCTCCAGCAGCCAGCCATGCCTAGCTTCGAAATTTCTAGTCTCGACCAGAATCCTACCCGGAGCTTGAAAAAAGTGCACATGCTCAGCAACTCCAAGGACTACTACACCGTCGGTCCAGACAACGAGCCCATTGAGCATACATGGCGTCGAAGCCGTGTTTACTGGGCTGGTCGGCATGTAGCGAACCGAACACATTGCCAGTGGCCAGTTTGGCTAACTTAACAGCATGTATGACGGAAGCGAGTGGCATGACACCATGATGATCACTCACATGCAATGACGTAGTTGTGAGAAAGGTAAGCAAGATGCACCCTAAGCCCCAGGGAGCAAGAGAGAGCGCAACAATGGATTCTAGCGACATAACAAGCAATGACGATGAAACCAAGCACCGCCAACTCACCCGGGTGAATGATTCAAGTGGAACCTCCTGGGTTTGGGGTTTCACGACCTGGCGCTCCAGACCAGAAACCCCAGGCACTACATGGTGCGTCGGCAAGCCGGGGACATTGGTGTCAAGGCCGACCAGCTTCCCCGGCGAGAATTCAGTACCTGTGTATTGTTCCGATACCGCAGGCTCACGAAATCAGGTCCCCGTCGCATTCCCGTCTCATGGGTTTTGGGATACATAGGACAAGCTGAAAAGCTTCAGTTTGCACACATGTGTACATAGAGAGTTTATGAACATGTAAATGTAGATACATACGTACACCCAGGATTGTATATGTACCTATAGTCTCCATTGTCAGCGGTTTTTGGCTTACCTTATAGGGTCCTAAATGCAGCATTGTTTAAACAAAAAAGGGATCTACAATGGAGACTGCAGGTAACCACAGGCACCCTAAGACCGCTTATAGAAGCCTTATAGAATCCCCATAGAACCCCTATAGAATGGATGATCCGGAAGCTTCTTGAGGTTTCTGAGACTGTCGGCGCCCTCGCTGATGCAAATGCTGCTGCCGTACCTATGCTCCTTGCGCTTCCTTTGAGTTGGTTTGGTGCAGGGTTGAAGGTTTCAGGGTCTAGGGCCAGTGACTAAAGGGTTTAAGGATTGAAGGTTTCAACTTTGAAGGTTTAGAGTTTATGGGTGCAGCCAGTAGTGCGACGGATTGGCGTGATGTTTGTGGGCGTTTCCCGGCCGACTTCCGAAGCCCGGATGCGACACAGGGCTCTTGGTTCGGGTTTTTGTGAAGGTATTCGAAAGTTAAGCATGCTCGGTCCGAAAGTCCAGCATATTTGTGCTTACCGATGCCCGAAGCCCTAGAAACAGATGATTGTGGTATTGCAAGTTCAGAGCTGGGAAGCTCGCGGTGTCCATACTCGTCCAAGCAGATGCTGAACTATTCGTTCTTTGTTGGGGGGGGGTTGGGGGCGGGGGGTGGCGCTGCTGCGAACCTGGCTTATAAGGCGAGTGAAGGGCAAGTTCGTGTCCTTGGAGTTGGGAGCCGATTTATAAGAAACAAACAATGACAGGCACTCCGGTTGCCGATCGTTTGTCGTAGTCTGGATGGAAGAATAAGGAAACATGGGTCAAGGGGTCAGTGTGTCGTGGATGCAGTGGTGAAGGGTCACATTTAATGTACGCGCATGGACTGCCTGAGAGACAGCAGTGAGGCCTCTTTGCACTTCGCCATGACCATCATGCGCCTGGGCTGTCAAGCATCGTTGCGCTTAGTTCCGTCTCTTGGGCACAGTAGCGGCTACGGTTTCGTGTGCAAGGTGACCTTACATCGTACTGAAGCGTAGCCGTAGCTGTTGGGGAGAAGCTCGTTCTGGGTTTGCTGAATCAAAACCAAGGTTTTCCTGGATTTGCTATATCTCCGCCCTCGCCATGGGAATCTCGGGCCGCCCTATGAGAGAGTTCAGTCAGTGGGGACTGTATCCCCCCAACCTTCGCCTGGGATGCACAGCGTAAGGGTTGAATCTATAAACCTGCAGTCCTGGCCAGTCACCTGGATTAGTCTTCAAGCTTCGGCCTAATCTAAAGCCCCGCAGTGTAACCCAAAACAGGAACGTGTACGAGATCATCGCTTGCAAAACTCGGCAGCAGAACTTTCTGGAGGAGCGACAGAAACAGGAAGGCCTGAATTCGGTCCAGCCCCATGCCTGCAGCCAAACTAGTGTGCGGGTATAGCGGTTGCGTTATGTGCTTTATGTTGGTTTACAAGATATAAGCTTATCGGTTCTGCAAACTTCACTCTAATCGCGACAATGTTTCTATCCTTCCGATTCCCGATGTTGTTTTCATTGACGCAGCTTGATGTGGGCATCGAACATCGACGGAAGACTCTATGGCTTTGTTTTGGTCGCAAGGTCCCAAATGCAGTTGACACGGCGGGGTGCCCAAATACATGTATTCGACAGAGACTTTGCCTGTAGCACGCACGCACACATACACACACAATCCTTCTACATGTCAAGCCAACAAATCAATCCAAATCCAATGAATGAATAAACATATATACATGTGTATATATGTATATGTAAGTATGTATTTACCCATCTA